TTCTTCTAACATCCCATGATATCACAATATGTTACTTAACTCAATTCCATGCTTGATTCGTCATTCGGGTCATCTTTTGAATAATTGCAGTTTGAGCCTTTTTCGTTCATTTTCTCATACTTTTCATTTCATCCATCAATGAAATCTTACAAATACAAATTATATCGAATTAAGTCATATTTCAACATATACATCAACAATTTTCCATGTTTTATGACCTAAATAAGTGTGTAAAACACACTTATCAGGTTTAAAGGGGATTTTTACAGTGGGTCGTGTTGATTCCAAGCGTGATTTAAATGGACAATTGATTTCAATTCTGAGGTTGAATGTGCTATAGCTGCTGTATGGATTTCATTGCCCAATTTTCTAATTATTTTTTTGGCCAAAGGGACACTATATTCCATTGCAAGTGTCATTGGAACACCTTTGATGCTGTGTGAAGCAACAACAAATAGATCTATAGTAGATAGAGCGAGGGTGTGCGTGGAGTTAGAACCTAGAAATCCAAGAATACCCAGAATTTATATAAATTGTGTGGAAAAGTCATTTTGGAAACAAGTTGTATATGAAGATATCCCGAGTCATTGCACTCACTTTTTGCACCAGGAGCACACCATAGACAAGCGTTACGTGTTTGGGAGAATGTCGAACAGAATGTCGTCTGTCGTTTCCATTAGTAATGAAAAGACATCAAGAATTTCTAGTCAAAAATTCAATGGAACAGAAGTAAATCCTGGTTATTAATGAAAATAATAAAGACGAATACTCCAATATCCGTTTGAAAGAGAAAGATGAGAGCCAAAAAGAAAAATTTGACGGATGTTATGCTGAAAGAAGCTGGTCTATTTATTTATGGTGATCGGCCTGGGGATTTGGATGTTGGCAGTCTTGATAGCTTGTTTCTTGCATATAAGCAACATAGAGAGCATAAGGTACTCATCAGGGAAAAGCTTTGTAACAGGGTTGTCAAATTGAATATGGATGGTTGTTCAAAGGGGACTGATGAATGCTCAGGAGGGGGAATATTGAGAGATCATGAAAGAAAAGAAATATTTGAATTTAATGAATACTATAGTTGTGGTTGTATTGTAGTTGCTGAACTGAAGGCATTACTGGGAGGATTAAAAATCTGTTTTGAACGTGGTTATCAGAAAATCTGGGTAGAATTAGATTTGAAAGTTGTGATTGATCTCGTTTCTGATCCGGGTATAGGTACATGGGAGTTTCAAGAAGTACGTAGGATAAGTTCCAGAATGGATGTTTGTTACTCTCACATCTACCAAGAAGGTAATCACGCAGCAGGTTGCATGGCTTACGAGGGTTATTACTTTAAAAGTAAAATGAGCTTTGAGCATAATGAACTTCCTAACATTGTCAAGAGCGTTGTAAGGAAAGAAAGGTACGGAGTATTGACATTTGGATAACAGAACAAGGAATTCCTTTTGTTTGCAGCATGTGCAATGGAGATAGTATCTCGACAATAGTATACTTAGGGCAGCTGATGCTCATTCGAGAGCCTTTTGCTCTATCACTATCATTATCTCTATCTCGAACTAGGTAATTTTGAATCTTAGACTTTATATGGGTTAAAAACCCATTAGGTTACCCACGCTGTCTATTTTTATGAACTGAATTGTTGAGTTGATGAATGAAAATCTGGTATTCCACGTTGGAAAAAATGTTGATTAACAGTGTTCTTTAGGAACACTTATTTAAATGAGTGATGCTATTCAACAAGAATAAGATTAATGCTATTTACTTTCAAAAATAAATCTAATTGTACAACATTGATTGACAACCGTGCGTTGTCAAAATCCTAACATGTGATGTAGAAAACCGTTTTTTAAAATGGATGAATATGATTATGTCAAATAGGATGTTGTCACATGTAACATGATTCTATTTTATTTCATCTTTGTTCTCTACCACCAATCTCATATTTCCTTAATTGATTTTGCACGACTTGAGAGTGAGATTGAATGGTAGTTATGACTGTTTTTCTTAGCTAATTCTGTCAAAACTTTGGATTTTCGAGGTATATATATAATGACTAACTCAACATAGTGAATGAAATCTAAGTTCGAGGAAATACTACAAATCATATTGCATGAGGACGATCCAAGTGAATAAGTTTGTAGAATAAATTTGATTGGAGAAATTTCAAAGAGTTTTGTTTCAACTTCTTTAATTTATATTTTACACAACCATATTTACTTTTTTGGTCAAGAAGGTTTGTATCTATGTTGAGGTTTAGCATGAATCTCTACTCGTTGATTAACAAAAACCAGGAGTAGAAAAGTGAGATGCACAAAAACAGACCTCCAGAATAACAAAAGATAAAGAAGGAAGAAAACAAGACATCTCTATTACATGAGCATTGGCAAGCCAACAGAAGAATTCATAGATCATCGTGAATCTTTTACCTATAATTTCCGGACATATGGAGTATTAAGGCTTTCTAACCTTAAAATCTCTTTAAGGTCGTCCGAAAGTTCATTTTCCTCAATGATTCTCCTTTCTTTAGTACGAAAACCTCGTTAGCCAAGAAATCCGCTGCACTATTAGCTTGCATGTAGATGTATGTGTAATGAACATTCAGATAGGAACTTACACTCCGAACTTCATCCACCAGGTACTGCACCTTCTTGGTACGGCCGGAGCATGAATCCATAGCTAGATCAGAGATGCGTTTAACAGCAAGTAGCGTATCCAATTCTACCCAAATATTCTTATAACCACCAGATTTTTAATCCTGCCAATAATGCCTTCAATTCAGCAGCTAATACAGAACAACAAGTACTATAGTATTCGTTAAATGCAAATATCACCTCCCCTTCATGATCCCTTAGGATTCCCCCACTAGCAGAATCATCGCTAGGAATCTCCAACCGCTTTAAACAGCTATCGATATTCAATTTGACAAACCTATGACGGGGTTTTTCCCATAGAACTAAGGTAGTCTCCCTCTTTCCCTCTCTCATTCGCTTTCTCTCTCGCCTTCTCTTTGTTCTATTGATTCGTACACTGGCAGAAGAGAAGCTACATCGACTGTCCATTTCCAAATCCCTCGATTGATCATCATTACTGAATGAATCAGCTTGGGAGATGTCATCTTTCTCCTCCATAAAGCTAGAAGAGGATTCATCTTTCTCCTTTTCTCTGTTGGCATTTTCATTTTTATTGCACTTCATATCGCTAATGGCAGCGGCAAATATTATTCTTTTAATCATTTTATTAGTCAGGTAACATTCGTGCACAGCATGTCCCTAGTGCAAACAGAGACTGCAATTGGTCGGGATATTTTCATAACAACTTCTTGCCAAAATGAATATTCCTCAGTACCTATACGGATTCGGTGTATTCTTGGTAGCCTCAAATCCAACTTAACACAAACTCTGGCATTGCTTACAATGGATTGATTTGTAGTAGCTTCATCCATCATCAAAGGTGTTCCAATTTCAGTCACAATGGAAAAGAGTACAGATAGTTCGAAAGAATTCATCAGCAAAATTGGGCAATGAAATCCACACTGGAGCTATAGCACATTCAACACTAGGATTGAAATTGATCGTCCATTTAAAAACTTTCACAGGATAACCACAAACACACCAGATAGGATTTAGGAAGAGTCTTATATAATCCTCTTCTAGGGCGAAAATTATCAAAATGCGTTTGGAATCAATAAGACCTACTGTAAGAGCCCCTTTGAACCCTAAAAGATCGAAAGTGGTTCTCACCTGTGCTAATAAAGGTTTTCCATTAGAAAATTTACCGATCAAAATATATTTGGAAGAGGCTGAAATTTCTGAATTTCATTATCTGACAATGATATACATGGTTCTTCTTTGTACATCGTAAGTTCGTTGTGATGAATGGAAGAAAATGAAGATTCTGCAAGAATAGAGGCAAAATATTTACTCGATGAACAGAGCGATGGTGGCTCCGGTGTCTCTGCGAGTTGGCATACATGGATTTCTCCATTTTCACTGGAGGGAGAGGTGGCTGTTGCAGACATTTCTTTTTCACCGGAAAATAAAAATTTCCGAATATCAGGCCAACTCAAACTCATTGGTGGTTTGACTTAGGGCGCGTAAAAATCAATATGAATCAGTCAAATCTCGATCCAACCCAAAACAATTGATTTGAATTGGTTTTTTAGTTCAATTGCGTTGTATTCGATTTAGAAAATCAAATTTTAGGTCGAGTTGGGTTGAGTTCTGAATTATCTATTAAATCCCAATCAAATCGAACCAAACCCAAAAAATTAAAAAATATTAACAAAAAAATTAGTACTTAAAACCAAAAATCTAATGATCAAAATTCTCATTTGCTTCGCGTCTCTTCTGCCTCTTGTCTTGCCTCTCATTGCTGCTCGTGCTTCTGTTTTTCAACTCGATTTGACTAAACATTTGAATTGAGGGAGAATATTTTATATTGAGTTTGGATGATTTAACATCTTTAGTATTTAGGTTGAATTCATTTTATTCAAAATGTATAATATGGAGGTATTCAACATATATTTAGATTGATTTAATATATATTTAGGGTGTGTTTGAGCCACATTATTTTAGAAGAATGTATTTTGGAATAGTAGATTGATGAAAAGTGTGTGGTTGACAAAGAATGAAAAATTATTGATGTGACAAAAAATATTATTTTACTGAAAAATGTATTGTTGAAAATTAGTAGAAGAATAATAATGAAAATAGGGGCTTAATTTGATCATGATATAATCTATTTAACATGTTTTACAATTTTTTTAATTTATATTGTTATATTGGAATGAAACTTAACCCCATGAACCATTAATCCAACTCCAATTGACTTAAAGCCTTTCAAATCACTATTTTTAATGNTTCAATCGACTTAAGGCCTTTCAAATCACCATTTTTAATGTAATTAAAATTGGTCCAAATTGAAATGGTATCAGACTTTTAAAAAATTGTTCAAATTCAACGAAAAAGACCTCAACCAATTGCCTATAAAAAAAATTATCCAATTTGAATTAACCTCAAATCCAAACCAACACGAGTTTAGTCAGTTTGGATTGTGTTGCATTTCAACCATGAATAAGTTGGTTTTAGTTTGAATTATTGTCAAATCGAACATGTTGGGTTATGTTTAGGTTGGACTCAAAACCAATCCAACCTAACTCACGCCCAACCCTATTTGACTGATCAGCGTAGCATCCCTACTTTTGATATTTAATGTGCACAATATCCCTACATTTCAAACTTTTACATTTTCATCTCTATTTCCACGTTTATTGTGGAAAATGTCATTTTCATCCATTTTTATCAAATTTCTCAATTAAAAATTATAAAATGATGAATATACCCTCATATTTAAATAAAACAAAATGAAAAGAAAAAAAGAATATTTTGCAATTATACTCCCAATTTTTTCAAAATAATACAATTATGTCCCAAATAATTTAATTTAAAAATTAAAAAAAAATCATTTTCTTCTTCCACCTCTCCCACCCACCGTAGGAAAGCCACCTGTCACCAAACTCACAGCCGCCACCACCACCACTTCCGCCACCACTTTCTTCCCCAAAATCCCTCCCATTTTACTTCAACCAACAAGAAAAACGCGCTCACAGTCTCTCTGAAAATGAAATGAGAAATTCCAATTTTCATAATGTTTCTTTTCCTTGACTTCTTCTTATTTTTTGATGCTTTAGATGTCCCGATCGTTATCTTTGAAGTATTTGATAAACACTACCAATAAAGATTGGAACTTTCGAGTAAATTTACAGCAGATCAAAGTCTTAAAAGCCTTGAGCAAAGAGATCTGAAGAGAAAGCTTAAAGAATCAGCTTTTAAAACTTGGATTTAATACAATTTTCAAAGTTCCACCAAACAATTGACTTTTGACCTGAAAAATTTAATAATTCCTTTGGTTCAAGATTGTTTCAGAAGTTTCCAGAAATTGTAATTGATTGACAAAGAAGTGTTCTCAATGTCGAAACAAAGAACTAAAACGCAAAGAAAATCCTTAACTAGTCAGAATCGTAAAACCCAATTTAGAAAAGCCCTCAACTTTTCTGGGATTTTATTTGAACTCACAGTAATTAAGGGGGAATTAGAGAATTCCACAAGAAATCTAAGACTCGGAACTAAAATGATCAAAAATGGTGCTTATATTCAAGAAATCAAAAGCCAACAGTCAAATTGATCATTAATCAAGCCCCTCAACTATGATGTTATATAGAGTATATAATCTAGGGGAATCCAAATCCTATGACCGAGTAAACAAATATAAAATGCAGCAATAAAGGTTGAGTAAGTAGAGTAAAGCAATCTTGACCGAGCGGAAGATTATAGGAAAGATGAACAACCTCACAAATATGAGATAAACTCACAAAAATTCTTATTCAATTCAATAATGTCTGCCTCAAAGGGCTTACAATGATTTAAAT